ACACTGCCCTTGTCCTTGGTCCACCGTGAGACTGGGCCAGGCTGGCTGGGCCTGCACTCAGAGTCCTGGCCACACCTGCTGGCGGCTGCAGGCATATCACAGATAGGGAGCGCTGCCCAGGGCTCCAAGTAGACCAACTAGATAAAGATTCCCACCCACAGCCCAGGAAGATCCGGCAGGCAAGGGTGAGGGAAGGGCCCCGGGGTGGGGTGCTCAGAATCCCGGGCCACTCTGCAGTTAAGCACCACCTCCCGGCAATGGCTGGCCTGAACAAGGCCCCAGGGCCTCCCTGCAGCCACGGTGTGCATGTCCCTGGCACTCTCCCATCACCAGGCTGTGGTGGGGGTGTGTGGGGAGGCAGTGGTGCACAATGCAGGTAAAATCATATGAGAACATGCGCCCCATGGTGCACGCACCCATACACCAGGGGACTCAGTGCAGGTAAAATAATGTGAGAACAAGCATCCAGCACCAGGGGACTCAGAAAATGTCACACACACACCCATTTTCTGTCTTTCTGGATACAGTTTGGTTGGTGGGTGTGTGAGAGACAGAGAAAGGGGAGCTGCTATCCTGCCCACATGTGTATGTGTGTGTATCCAGCCCCGCCCATGGGACGGTCCCCACCCTGCCTTCCCAGTCACCCTCACTGGCTCAGGAGGGAGGGAAACCGCCGTGGGGACTGGGATTTCTCAGAATGAAGGGGGCGCGCAGGGTCATGGGCACAGACAGAATGACCCAGAAGGAAGGAGGCGTACACCAGACCCCAGATGGGGCCCACACACAGGCACGGACCCTCACGCAGACTTCGAGCACGCACACGCATGTGCACAGAGAGATGGGGCGGGCACACGTGGAGTTGGGACGCACCCATGATGTTCTGGGGCACAGGCCACTAAACCACAGAGCAGCAGAGATCAAAGGCCTGGGCTTCAAACTTAGTTTAAAATACTCTGGGCCTCCACCCCATAAGCCACAGGCTGCCAGTGGCTGAGAGAAGCGGACAGTGGGGGCAGGGCAGGGCTGCTGTGCTGCTGCCGGGGGCACTCCCACCGTTCACTCAGGGTCGGCCGTGGCATTTGGCTTTGCTGGTCCCTAGGGCAGCTCCTTCCCCCACACTAGGCAGGAAAGGGGCCCAGGAGGCACTTTCTGGAACCAGGCACTTTTAATCGTGGAACCGAGGGGCCTGGAGTGTGAGGAGGGAGGGGCAGGGCTGGGGGCAGAGTTAGGGCCCGGGAACCCTCAGGTTAGGGTGAGGACCCTGGGGTCTGACTGGGTCAGCGTTAGGTGCCCATGTTGGGGCTGGAGGGCCCCAGGTTCAGGATGGGGCAGGGATGGAGGCCCCACAGAAGGAGGGCCAGGCTCTGGGGAGTCACTACTGAGCCCCAGGGGCAGCAGCCTGGGATCAGTGTCCTGGGGCTGGGACAAGACCCAGATCAGGACCCATCCTGTCAGTCATAGTCCCCATCATCAAATTTGGTGCTGAAGAAGGCGGCAGAGTCCTTGGCCAGCCGGGCCAGGTGCAGGGCACCAGTCACCACCAGCCCCAGGAGCAGCAGGGGCGGCACCAGCGTCCACATCGCGGCCAGGATGTTGTAGCACTTGGCCTTGGAGCCAAAACGCCGGGCCGCTTCCAGGTCGCCAACCACCTTCTGATCTCGGGCCTGCAGAGAGACCGCAGGGCCAGATGGCTTTGTGTCCTCGGGGCCTGGGGGCCCTTCCCCACCCCCACCTAGGGCACCTGGAAGGCCCCTGATGGACCCAAAATCTGGATGGAGGGTTGTGGCCTGAGGAGATACTCCCCGGGGCCCCAGCTATGGACCCAGGGGCCGTCCCAGGCCAGTGTCAGCCTATCAGAGTTCTCTACGGGTGAGGGTCCTCCAGGGTGCGGAGACACCCCCAACCCTGCCACCCAGGGGCTGAAGTCAAAGGGACCTCTGTTCCAGGAGACCCCAGCACGTGAAACCCCTTGATTGCAGAGACCTCTGTGGGTGCCTCCCATGGCCTCTGTGCTCTTGGACGCGCCAGACCCCCTTAAGAAGAGGCGCCGTGTTTAATGGAGAGGCCCCCGGCCTCGCCTTCCTGAGGAGCTCCTTCCAGGCCATACTGATGGTGTCCCCTTCACAAGCAGTACCCACAGAGCCCCTCAGACAAGCAGAGCCCCCCGCCGCCCCCAGCACAGTAAGTACCCCCCACGGAGCT